TCCTCTGCAGAATTCCCTTTTTCTTCCTGAATCTGATGGGAGAGTCCTGATGAGGGCAGATGCACCGTTTTCTATCACCATGACTGTTACGCTCATACAAAGAGACCTGCTGTCAGTGACCATCATTTAAAAATGAATTTTCAGTAAAACATTCACGGAGGTCTAAATGAAAGAACTGGATTTTCATTCTACTCCATGTGATAAAGGGGGGGAGACCTTATCTCATTCTAATTTATTATTTCAGAAGATTTATTCAGACAGACTTATTTTTAGTTTCTAGGTTCTCCACCGCTCAGCTCCAGTAAGGAGTCTTGGTTCCATTTAAACCCGTCGTTTGTGAATTATGAGCATGAAAAAGAAACTTGATGTTTGTTATAGCAGATAAATATTTTACAGCTCGTTCTCACGTTTACTCAGGCGAACTCTTGTGTTTATATTTCATTTAATGAACAAATGTGTGATTTTTTTTTATTGGGCAGATGTTTTAATCTAAAGCGACTTACGACAGAGGACGTAACAATACAGTATGTTAACATAATATATGCTTTAGTCCTGTGAGACGCACCAGGGTAGAAACCCACACATGCATGGGGAGAACATCCAGCGTTTGAACCTGTGACCTACTTGCTGTGAGGTGAGGGAACAGTGCTAAAAGCTGCACCGCCATGGAGTTTATTCAGATTATAGTCATGTACAGTAGATGGCAGTGTCCACAATCATCTACTTTGATCACCTTTGAGAGAAGATGATTGCTGCCACTCTATTCCACCGGCTCCCTGTACTTGGTCTCTCGTCCTTCTGTGATACATCCAGCAACTGCTAGTGTAAAGGGTGAAAAGGAACAGTGAGAGTACAGTGTGCTGTGGTGAACCTGTGCTGCTGACAACGTGGTACACACTCAGGTAGAACTGAATCCAGGAGGTTGTGGATCTACCTAACCCTGGTAGATCTGTCTGGATTGAATTAAACTCACTGGATAAATCTAAGAACAGGATCCTCACAGAAGCTGCCTGCGTTGTCTAGACGAGTCAGAGAACCCTGGGTTTGCTGACGCAGGTCTGTGACGACTCCGGTCCACGGTAGTAAGTAAACAACAACGAGTTCTGGGTTGTTTGCTTGTTCAGGGCGTCCAATAACAGGCTCTTAAGGACTTGTATGATGTGTGGTGTTTGGGCAACAAGTATACAGTCGCCAAGGCCAGACGGAGGAGAATCTTGTAGGGACTGGAACATGTCAGGATGTCTTCCACAGCTCTGGAACCTTCTCCTGGGAGATCCTGCAGAGTTCCACTTAGCTGGTCTGACCAGGCCTTAAGGTCTTTGTTACTGACACCATCTTAACCAGCAGTCTTGTTCTGGTTTAGACTCCCCTTTTTATGTAAATAGCATAATAACTGTTACCGGTAATTCCTGGACAACCACAAAGTGCAGAATAGACATTTTAATCTCTAATTGTGTCTGTTAACATTCCAGATTGTGCATCGCACCCTGGCTTCCATGCTAGGATCCTTAGCAGCGTTAGCTGCTCTGGCGATCATTGGAGATGTAAGTTTATTTTTAATTCATTCTCATTTGCTGAGTCATGAACGGTGTAAATATAAACAATGCTTGTCAAGAACATTGTTTTAGTCAAAAACGAGTCAGCAACCATCCAGCTGTTTAACGCAGCAGCTAGCTGCAGGGAATTTGGTTTGATGCTTGATTTCATTGATGCAATTAGCTTTTCTAATGGAACTGAGAACAACGCGTCATCCTTCCTAAAACATGATCACGAGTTTAAAACAATAAGTGTAGGTTTCTTAAAGAACTCATTTCAAGTGGTACCTGGCAGTAGTTAATATCAGAGGTGCATTGGGCATCATTAAAACACACACACACACACATGCACACACGCACGCACAAACACGCGCAAGCACACACACGCGCACACACACACGCACGCACGCACGCACGCGCGCACAGACACATGCACACGCGCACGCACACACACACACACACACGCACGCACGCACACGCACACGCACGCACGCGCGCACACACACACACACACACACACACGCACGCACACGCACGCGCACGCACGCACGCACACACACAGACACACACACACACACACACACAAGTACAGGTCGTCCATTAATGGGACTCCAAACCCCTGAGCCATCTTCGCCCTGCTGTGGCTGTGATTGTGAAATCTCATTGAACATTTAGCCAAATCTGTTTTAAACGTCTGGTGTTTCATTAATGACTTCCCTTTCCACTCTGTGTAAAAAAGGTACCGGTACATGATTCATGTTTGGTTTTCTCACAGAGACCCAGTCTGGTCACGGTGGTAGAGTGGATCGACTACGAGACACTGGCTCTTCTGTTTGGCATGGTGAGATCAGCTTCATGCAGTCATTCAAAATCAAGTCAACTTTATTTTTAAAAAGCACATTTCAAGAAACCAGAGCAGGTTCAAGTGCTGCGCCGTAAACCCCAAAACGTCCGCCATGAAACAATCAAGTCTTCAAATTTACAATCAGAAGAAGACATTTAAAGAAAATCATGTTATTTCAGAGCTCAGCAGGGTTTAGGAGGGTTATCACAACACCAGTTCTCTCCTTTTGTCAGGTCATTTAACATTTACCACAGTCTCCATGGAAACAAGCATACATTTGGTGCTGTGGCTGATTGGCATGTTGGAGAAGTGTGTTTAAAATGATTTCTTCACAAACGACAGTGCAGCAGTTAAAAGCGTGGCTTAGTAAGAGTCAAGAGGAACCTCCTGTGATGCATCCTGCAATTCTCCAAACCTCAAACAAGAAAAGCTGCAAAAACTATTCATTTTCCAAAAATACAGACCAACATAATCCTATAAGAATAAAATGTTTAAACATCAGGTTTGAAACTTCCTATAAAGCTTTATTTTATCGTCTGTGTTAATTCTCATTAAATATCCAGATGATTCAGTATTGTGTAATATTATGAATAATGTTGTAAAAATACATTTTATTTTCCACAGATGGTGCTGGTGGCCATTTTTTCAGAGACCGGCTTCTTTGACTACTGTGCGGTAAAGGTGAGTTCACTGAATGAAGGGGTGAATATGGTTAAAGTGGAATATATTTGAGATGACCTGACATTTGGAGCATCAGTATGATTGTCCTCACACACTTTGTTGTTTGCGTTTTAGCTTTTTAGATTTAAAATGATGACAAGTCTATAAAAATAGCAGCTTACTGGTGAAAAGTCAAAGTCACGAGGCTTTCAGATCAAATGAGTAGCGTTTGTTACAAGACTGCTTTTGGATTCTGATTGTTCTGATTTAGAAACGTCTTCTGGAGTCAGATCACGTATCGGGTTTAGAGGCTTCTTGTTTTTCATCCTGACCCAACAGTACAACAATAATAACAGGCTGTCATGAAGGACTTTTGCTTAGTTTGGCCAAAGATAGACGAAAAAGGTTCTAGCTGTAAGCAGGTTTAATCAAAAGGGTTATTACTGGAAACGATGCATTTTACAAACTGCAGCAAATTTAACGCAGCAGTTATAGAGCAGCAGCAGCTCAGGAGGTAGAGCAGCTTGTCCAGTAATTGAAGGCTGTGGGTTCAATCCTGGTTGCCGATTGCTTTCGTCAGTGCGCCTCAGGACAGCTGTGGCTGCAGTGTAGCTCACCATCACCAGTGTGTGAATGTGTGACAGATTGTGTTGTGAAGCGCCTTGGAGGGTTGTAGAACCCTAGAAGACGCTATGAAGGTTTTTACCTGTAACTCTATTTTTAAGTTAAGAAATGTAATTGTTACAAGACAACTAAACATCTCCACACAAAGACAAGGTCTCCTCCGATAAGAAAATCACCAACACGGTTTTAAATAAAGAGGACCAAACGTTGGTCAGACCTGAGGTGAATCAGCCTTGTTGGGCCTTGTCACTGGTCCGGGCTATTAGGGGTAATTTCTTTTAATCATGTTTCATGATCATGTTGTTTCTGTGACAGGCTTACCAACTATCCCGAGGACGGGTGTGGCCGATGATCATCATCCTGTGTCTGATTGCTGCCATTCTGTCAGCTTTTCTGGACAACGTGACCACTATGATGCTTTTCACACCCGTCACCATAAGGTCCAGTGAAGCACCAACAACCCGTTTCATCCTTCTGAATGTTCCTGGTTTTAACATAGTAATGGGATGAGATGGAGGGTGTATGTTGAGTCCTTTCGTCTCACTAAAGCTGCCTCTCACGCGTTTTACTTAAAGCACTATAATAGTTTTTATATTTTGGTATTTTTTACATCCAACTAAACTATGTCCCAGTTTGTTAAAGGACTAATACCTTCAGCCTTAAATATCTTCTTTTCCTGTATTCATGCATCCCACTGCAATCTAATCACGAGTTATTCTGTCCCTATCTGGTTTTGTAGGTTGTGTGAGGTGCTTAATCTGGACCCCAGACATGTCTTGATTGCAGAAGTAATCTTCACCAACATTGGAGGGGCCGCCACAGCTGTCGGAGATCCACCCAATGTGATTATAGTATCAAACCAGGGCCTGCGCAGAGAAGTAAGCTCTGTTCTCACACGATCCTCTGACAGCAGCCTGACCCATCAGCAGCACAGTGAGACCTAAAAACTAAACAATAATGAGAAAAATAATCAGTACAGAAAACAGATTCATTTACATCTATGATTAGTAAATCTGGAGCAACCTTTCTTTTTTACATTTTATCAGGAACTCCCATTTTGAAGCATAATACGAACCTCTAGCTGTAAACACACATCACTGGCACAAGGCTTCCTGCCATTCAGGACATTTATCTCCAGCGATGCCTCCGGAAAGCACACAGCATCATCAAGGACCACAGCCACCCAGCGCATCAGCTGTTCTCCTCATTACCATCTGGCAGGCGTTACAGGAGTCTGCCTGCTCGGACTACGAGACTTAAAAACAGTTTCTACCACCAAGCCATACGACACCTCAACCATTACACTTAAACACACACAACACAGGATACAGATGTTACCCTGCAGCTCCACAAGTAAAATTTAATCTGCACTGGTTACTTCATTTTAATGGTACTACTCACTTTTTCTTTAGATATATTTATATTTAGTCATCTATACTTACTTATCTATTTAGTAAGCTTTTACTTTTAGCATGACTCTCTAATATTTTGCTTTTACTTTATTATACCTTGCTCTTTTTTTCTATTGTATTACGCTGCTGAGAGACCGCTGCTCGTCAAACACATTTCATTGCAATGTTGACCCTGTGCTAACTTGCATATGACACAACTAAAATAAACTAAACTAAACATACCTTTAAAATCAAAACAACCAAAAACTACAGCGTTTGCAGAGAAAAACGCAAAACACCTCTCTGGTCCTTGTTGTATGTTCAAGTTGAAACTGGATCACAAATGAAGTTGCTGTTAGTCAGTTTGCCTTCCAGTGCTTCCTCTTTCACCTAAAAATCATCCTTTTTGTCTTTAAATATTTCTAAAATACAAAACTGAAACAAAATCCGAACCAGAAAGCCTTTTTGTTGAATGTGAAAACAGTGAAACTGGATTGTATTTATTTGGTGCGTTTGACATAACAGATAAAAACAAACACAAGATAAGAAAAAAGGTAGATGTAAGAATACTTACGTAAAAGGAGTCACTGGGATGTGCAAATAACAGAATACAGCAGCAGAAACATTATTCAAGCTAAAGTGGATTTAGTGCTCTCATGACTGAGGTTTTTGCTCTAATCGCTGTCGAGAGAGTTGATTTGTTGTCTTCGTTGTGGGGAGAAAGCTGCTCCTCAGGTTGCTGTTTCTTGGTTTCAAAGCTTCACGGCACCTGTTGCATGGCAGGAGTTCATTGAGATGGCGACTGGGGTGGGAGGGGTCTTTGATGATATTTTGGGCCCTACTGCAGTAGCTTGAGGTGGCGAGATCTTCCAGGGAGGACATAGAACAGCCATTAATCTTTTCTGCAGATATGATTAACTTTCTGCAGCGCCAAGGCAGCGAAGCAGCCAGCAAACCACAAAGAGATGCAGTACTGACGGATGCTGTTTTGTGTTTGTTCCATAATAATCAGTTTTATATTTGAGGTATTTAGTGATAATTCTTACTGGAATTAAGCCTGACTTACTGCCGGCAATGGGCACCAAGGTCTGGTATCGCCTGCATCAGACAGCCTGGTACCAGACACTCTCGAAGTACCCCCCACAAAGCCCCCCCAGAGGGCAGGGTCGAATGCCTTCTTCAAATCCACAAAACACATTTAGATTCTTTGGGAGAACTCCTACGAATCCTCCAGGACCCCTAAGGGTCTAGTGTTCCACGGCCAGGATGAAAACCAGCTACATTGCTCCTCCTGAATCCATGAATAGGCTTTACCAGGGGGCTCAGGAGTGTGATCCTCCAGTAGTTGGAACACTTCCTGCGGTCACCCTTTTTAAATGGGGGACCACCCAGTCTGCCAATCCAGTGGGACTGCCCTTGACATCCACGCAATGTTGTGGAGCTGCATCAGCCAACACAGCTCCACAACATCCAGAGCCTTGAGGAACTCCAGATGGATCTCATCCACCCCCGGGGCCTTGCCACCCAGGAGCTTTTTGATGACCTCAGTGACCTCAGCAACAGAGACTGGAGAGCCCAACCCAAGGTCACCAGACTTTGCTTCTTCATCGGAAGATGTGCCAGTGGGACTGAGGAGGTCTTTGAAGTACTCCACCCACCACTACGTCCCGAGTTGACGTCAGCAGCCCACTGTCCCCACTATAAACAGTGTTGTTAACACACTGGTTTCTTCTCCTTTGGTGCCAGATGGCGGACCAGAGTCTTCTCGAAACCATACCGAAGTCTTGCTCCATGATTTCACCAACATACCTCCATGCCTCAACCCATGTCTGGGGTTTTGTCTCCATGACGACCCAAGCTGCATTACGTTTGGACTGCTGGTACCCATCAGCTGCCTCCTGAGTCCCACAGGCCAAACATACCTGATAGGACTCTGTCTTTAGCTTTGAGCATCCCTAACCGCCACTGTCGACGGCATAGCTGCCTGTCAAACAGGAAGTTAGCTTTGTATATAGGCAAAAGGAAAGGAGACAGCAGTCTCCTGGGGGATTTAGATGTTGCCAGCCTTCTTTTTCAAGCTGTGGTCTTCCTGTTACAACATGTCTGCTCACTGAGTTTCAAATTACGGCTCAACACAAGCATTTAAGTGCTCATCAAAGGTGACCCTTCCTTTCTTTACTGTGGAGGTTATGACTGAAAATTTAGTGGCCAGGAAACCAATTTTTATCTATGCCTTAGCCATAATAAATCAAAGGAATTAAAATGTCAAAAGCAGTGAAATAATCACTTGCCAGTCATTGTTGTTGTCACTCAGGAGGCTGTTGTTGCAGAGACAGATTTACCACTATCTTCCCTTCAGACATCCTCTAAATCCTGCTCTTTGGGACTTGTCTGATTAAAGGAGACAGTGCCACTGCTGATGTAATCACATGTAAAGTCACTCAACTCTCATCTGAGCTCCTCCATGATGTGTTATGTTTATGATGTTTGTGAACGTTGTGACAACTAAATGGTACGGCACTATGTTAGCCGTGGCTCTTCACATTGCTTTCCAGCGTTTTCCCCTTTCAGAACTGATGGATGATAAATATATGAGAACACAACATGACATGAGAATAATACTCATAAAACAACGTGTTTTAGCTCTGTTTGTTGGCTGCAGACGCACATTTATAAACAGAAACGTGAAGTCGCCATCCTAAACAAATAGAGCAACAGAGTTTTTGTGTGATATGCTTGTCAGCCACTAGATGGTGCCATCGGATAAGAGAAATACTCCAGAAAGAAGCTTTAATCCAGGTTAATTTGAGTTTAAGTTGAGAATGAACATCTATGAAGAAAAGTGTCTGGGATGAAAATCAGCTCCTCCAAATTCTTCTCCAGGTCAGGGACGAGGTCCTGTCTCAAGTGGTCTCGGGGTCGTGTTCACGAGTGAGGGAAAAATGGAGTGTGAGAGTAATAGGGGAATTGATGCTGCGTTTGCAGTGATGCGGGGGTTGTACCAGTCTGTCGTGGTGAAGAGAGAGCTGAGCCAGAAGGCAAAGCTCTCACTTTACTGGTCGATCCACGTTCCTACCCTCGCCTATGGTCACGAGCTTTGGGTAGTGACCGAAAGAACGAGATCGCAGAAAAAAGCGATCAAAATGAGTTTTCTCTGCAGGGTAGCTGGGCTCTCGCTTAGAGATAGGGTGAGAAGCATAGTCTTCCGGGAGGGGCTCAGAGTAGACCCGCTGGGTTTCTGGGCACGTTCAACCAGGAGGAGACCTAAAGAAAGAACCAGGACACTCTGAAGGGACTTTGTCCCTCAGCTGGCCAGGGGACGTCTTACAGGATCCCGTCCCACTGAGTTAATCAGAGCAGTTTCACGCCAGAGGTATAGCTGTCATGCTTTTCTCTTTCTTTCTTTCTTTCTTTCTTTCTTTCTTTCTTTCTTTCTTTCTTTCTTTCTTTCTTTCTTTCTTTCTTTCTTTCTTTCTTTCTTTCTTCATTGTAGAATATTGCCATGCCTCCAGAAACATGACATTTCCCCAACTGCTCGATGTGGCATCTGTTTGGTGCATGTGACATTTTAGCCTTTGCATTTGCAGCGGTATGTGGTTTGCTCTGGGATACAGAGGCTCACACCAAGCTTCTACAACATGCTGTTGGGTTTTTCTTTTCTTTTTCTTTTATTTGTCAGGTTTAAGAACCACAGGAGCAAAGCAGCAGCACACTCAGCGGTGTCAGGCCCCTGATAAACACCCCTAGATCCTGGCTCTATGATGTACTCACAGTATCTGTTGGTTCGTTTCGATTCCTCCTTGTTGGTGTTGAGGGACTTAAGCATGGTTTAGGGAACCGACTGTAAAGTTATACATTTAAAAGAACAGCTACAACAAAAAGGTGAACTTGTCAAGTCACATTTTCAGAACATTTATTTAGAAAACTGCCTACATGTACAAATCCAGCAAACAGTCATGTTAAAATGAAAAGAATGAGATCTAAAGCTCTAAAATCTAGATGCTTAGAAGCAAATTAAAATATGTAACATTTTATCTCAATATTTAAATCTTAATACAAGTGTGGTTGTTTTAGCCAAAAACATATCTAACACGCAAATTCAGACAAACATAAGCAAACAATGTAAAATGGGTGTAAATATGTATTTATTTTTTATTTTCAATATTTAGATGTTAATCAATTTTTCTTATTTGAAAACATGCATTTAGATTATATTTTAGATATTGTTTAAATATTTGTTGAAGCTAATTGTTTTAAAATCTTTTCATTCTGAATGTAATACTTTACAACCCCGGTTCTCAAGCCACACTGTCCTGCATGTTTTCCATGTTGCCCTTTAAAACACCACAAGTGAATGAATGAGTGATTAACAGGCATCTGCAGCACTTGATGTCCTCCTGAGGAGCCTATGCAAATCAGGTGTGCCGAAGCAGAGACATGAAAAGTATGCAGGTAAGTGTGCCCTGAGGACCAGGGATGGGACACACTGCACTAATGTAGTACATTTTATTTATATAGCGCTTGTCACAGATATAGAATCACAAAGTGCATAGATCAAAACAAAATAAAACATAAAGTCATAAAATCATAATGAAATAGATTTACATCAGAAAAAATGAAGTCATAAAATAAAAATATCGTAAAACAGATGAAAGATGATTACAAATTTAAGTAAAAATAAAGAAAACAAAAGATTGATGTAAAAGCAGCTTTAAAAAATGGTCTTTAGCCGTTTTTAAATTCAATTCAATTCAAAAATACTTTATTAATCTCAGAGGGAAATTAGAGCTTCAGTACACACAATTCTGAGATCAAACCTAGACACATGACAAGAATTGGTGACTGTGGTCATTCACAACCCGAGTCGCGCTACCGTTATAGATCCAGAGGGTTTATGTGAGGACAGAGTCAGGGGGAGGGAGAAAAGGCACTTCAGAGTTAAGTGTCCAGACTGTCAGTGGTACGTAAGGATAAAACAGACCATCACAAAGCTGAGGTGCAATGTACACAGAATAAATGCTCCATGCATATTTGATAAATTCTACATTTTCTTTCTGGTTTTAGTTTAAACTAAAGCCCCATTCATCACACACTGATGAAATTCATCTTTGACCCATCCCCGTGGGAAGCAGTGAGCTGCAGCAGTGGCTGCGCTCAGGAACTATTTGGTGGTTAATCCCCTCCAATCCAACCCCTTTAAGCTGACTGTCAAGCAGGAAGGCATTGGGTCTTTGGTATGACCCGACCAGGATGTGAACCCTGATATCCCAGTACTAGGGCAGACTCTACCACTAGGCCACTGACAAGGGTATACAGCAAATACATAGAATGTATAAGAAACACAAGTGTCTCCTTTCCAGAGAGGAAAGCAGGTCTCCACTGAGACAAAGGGAAGTTTCATTACAAGAGTGAGGCAATGGGGTGACATAGTGATGAAATAAACTCTAACACAAAAGGAACATGCGATTTGAGTCTACCGAGATGTGACCTGAGACTCTTTAAGCCACGCGCAGGTCTCTCTCTGTTTTTGTCTTCATATTTAAATCCTGAAGGGGTCACTCTGAACCAGTTTTGTCACCGTGTCTAGGATTGTTGTCTTCACTCTGCAGTCTAAAACAAAGTATGCAGGAAACACTCAGAGGCTGGCTAGGTGTTCTTGTGCATACATGCATGGATTATGTTGAAAAAAGTGCATTTCTAGCTCCCTCCAGCGGTGGAAAGGTTGTAATTCTCTTGCTTGAGGGTCTCTGTGAGCGTGTTGGTTTATTCTAACAGATCAAGCTAGGCCTTGCAATATTGTGTTTGAGCATAATGTCTACATTAGACCAAATGCAACATTTCCAACAATATTCAACCTTTCTACGCATGAATTTTAATTATTTTAACTACGTTTTTTATTTATCTTCAGGCATGAATAAAACAAATTTCGAGTAAACCTTTCTGACCAGGTAACATAAAATCACATGTCCTCTACAGTAGATAACATGTTTGGAACAGACGCTGGCTTGAATCTAGAGTTCTTTGTGGAAGCTCAAATGCAAAAGATTGATCAACAGCTTTGCTTAATAGCAAAAAATGTTTTGAGTAGCTGTCCACTGTAGTGACCATTATGCTTACGGGTCTGAGGAGACCCGGTAGACGCTACTCAGACAGGAAGTTTGTGCTTTATGCCAAGTTAGAGATTTATTCATCTGAAATGAGAAAAATCCTCCAGGACCTAAAAATAATTTTGAGATGGAACACAGACCTGGGATCATGGTGGGTGAGAGGATTCCCTTTGAATTCATAAGCGGATATTATTTTAATTAAGATAATAAACATATCCACTTCATGTTTCCATATCTCCTGGTGTGTGTCACACACGGAGCGCTTGAATTCATTCTTTTCACTGTTCCGTCGAGTTCACCACGACATTCAGATTCCTGACGTCTGCACCGTTGGTCCGGTCTGAACACAGGCTGGAGCATGTTGTGACTGTCTAACAGATTCTCGTTGTGTTTGTTTCAGGGGATCGATTTTGCCAGCTTCACAGGCTACATGTTCCTCGGGATATGCCTCGTCCTTTTCACCTCATTTCCTTTCCTGCGGCTGCTCTACTGGAACACAAAACTTTACAACAAAGAATCCATTGAAATTGTTGGTAAGCAACAGTGTTCAAACATGTACATTTTACCAATGTTGATGAACAAAATGATGATTTTGCTTTCGCAAATTAATCTGTTTAATGATTTTTTTTTTCAAAAACTCTTAAAAATCTGTTTTGTTGAACACGCTTGCCAGGCTGCACAGTGGTGCAGTGGTTAGCGCTGTTGCCTTGCAGAAAGAAGGTCCTGGGTTCACATCCCAGCCTGGGGTCTTTCTGCATGGAGTTAGCATGTTCTCCCTGTGCATGCGTGGGTTCTCTCCGCGTACTCAGACTTCCTCCCACAGTCCAAAAACATGACTGTCAGGTTCACTGGTCTGTCTAAATTGTCCTTAGGTGTGAGTGTGTGTGTGTGTGTGTGTGTGTGTGTGTGTGTGTGTGTGTGTGTGTGTGTGTGTGTGTGTGTGTGTGCGTGCTCTGTCTTCTCCATCCCCAGTGAGTCGTGGAGGATGGCTGCTTATACTCAGCCAGGATTCTCTGGAGGTTTCATCCTGTTAAAAGGGAGTTTTCCTCTCCACTGTCGCTGCATGCTTGCTTGGTATGAGGATTGCTGTATAGTCACTGACACTAGTCAGTGACTTGCTGTAATTTGCTGGGTTCCTTATATAGGAAACTTTATTTCTGATTGGCTTAATGAACTGACCTGAATTGGAATGTTTATTATGTGAAGTGCCTTGAGACGACTCTTGTCGTGATTTGGCGCTTTATGAATAAACTTGAATTTAATTGAATTGAGTATTATTGATTTCAGGTTTGAACAACAAACATTTTGTGGTGCAGGACCAACATTACCATCACGCTGTTTTGTTCTGCTGCAGTTCACCGGTCACAACAGTTAAAGGCATTTCTCTGATAACATCTTAAAGTGTGGAACACTGAAAAACTAAATTTAATTATTATTTCTGATTTTAGTCGGTCAATCTGAGTTTTTCATGCAGGTTGAACATGAAAACATTTTCCTAAGCCTATCTTCCACATTAGCTTCTGATAGTGTCACGAACTGAACTAGAGGACCCGTGAAGACACCAAACACAGTAAGACGTTTTAAACAGTTTTTATTAGCCAGAGCTACGATGAGGTGTTACCTGAGGAATACTCAGGTAAGGGCAGAGTCGAAGGCAGGCCTGGGTCGAAGCCAGATCAGAACTAAGCAGGTACAGGGAGCAGGCTGGAGACGTGCTTGTAGACAGGCTAGGGTTGTGGCGGCAGGCAGAGTTCTTGGTGATGGTCAGGCATGGGAACGAGGCCAGGACACTAGAAGCAGGCAGGATGACAGAAGGCTGGAAGATCTACTAGCAGGAGCATTCAATAATCTGGCTCTGAATGGTTGGATGGCTGGTTCTTAAGTAGCAGGGGAAGCAGGTGTGTGTGATGAGCTGAGGTGTCAGGAGCAGGTGAAGTGGATGAAGCTGGGGTTGCTGTGGAAACAGGGTTGGCTGGGGCTAGATGACGGGACCAGGTGTGAAAGCTGATGAGGTGAATGATGGTGCATGGAGGTCCAGGCATGGCAGGATCATGACAGATAGAGGCTTGCTGTAAAGACTCTGACACCAGTCAGTGACTCCATGCATTCTGCTGGGTTCCTTATATTGGAAATATTTGACTGATTGGCTTAATGAACTGACCTGTATTGGAATATTTACTGTGAAGTGCCTTAAGACGACTCTTGTCGTGATTTGGCGCTTTATAAATAAACTTGAATGAATGGTGAAACTCTAGCATTTGAAACTCCTGACAGATCTACATGACACTGTCATTTAAAGGGATATCCCACTCCTAAGTGAAATTTTGTCTTTTGCCGCCTTTCTGAGTTAGATAAGTGAGAAAAAAGCATTTTGTAACCAGCACAGTGTTTCTTCTGGTCTGGCAGCAGTCTGGCTGCTTTAGGTTAGCATCAGCTATGGAAGTGAGCAGCAGGTACCGGCATGTTGTGTGCAAAAATGATTAAAATGACTCAATGATGATGCCAATTCCTGGTGAGCTCATAGATGTATAATGTTTGACATTAGTGCTAACGTTCATGAGCTTGTGATCAAGTGTTAATGTTTTAGGGCCTAATCCATAATACTAGACAGTTTAAAGCACGGTGTAAATTATATGATGTAAAATGACATCAGCTGATTGATTGTTAGAAATTTTTATAGCGCACAATACTTTTGGAATTATTCTGCACCATCCTCCAAAAGTGTGGCTCTTTATATTCATATTTCACTTGACTGTAATTTAAGATCTGTTTTGGACTGCCATGGAGATATGACACTCCTACAGTATCACTGGATTGTGGAAATAATGGTGGTAATAATGGAAATAATGTGGAAATAATGGTGGTAATAATGGAAATAATGTGGAAATAATGGTGGTAATAGTGCATGAAGCTTACAGTATCTCACAAGAGTGAGTGCACCCCTTACATTTGTGCAAATATTTTATTATATCGTTTTTCAAGGGACAACACTAAAGACAAAAAACTCTGACAGAATATAAACTAATGAGTGTGCAGCTTGTATAATGGTGTGAATTTGATGTTCCTTCAAAATAATTCAACACACAGCCATTAATGTCTGAACTGCTGGCTCAAGTGAAATGAAATGACCCGCTCTTGTGTGGCGCCTTTCTGAGTCGTAGGACTCCAAAGTCTTACTACAGTGTATCATTCATCCATTCGCACACCGATGGCGATGAGCTACAATGTAGCTACAGCTTACATCTTTATGCAGATGACATCCAACTGTACATCTCCTTTAAGCCCCATGAGATGTCTAAGCTGCAGCTGTTACACACCTGCTTAGACTCTATCAAAACCTGGATGGTGGGAGCTTTCTTCAGCTGAATGAAGATAAGACTGAGATCCTCATCTGTGCCCCAGACAAGCTGGTTCCCAAAGTCAGAGACTCTCTTGGTCAGCTTGCTTCCCACACCAAACCTTCTGTCAGGAATCTTGGCGTGACCTTTGACCCAGCTCTCACCCTGGATTCTCATGTCAGTTCTCTTGTTGGCTCTTCCTTCTTCCATCTCAGGAACGTTGCTAAGCTGAGTCCCATTCTGTCCCGCTCTGAACTTGAGACAGTTCTCCACACCTTCATCTCCTCACGCTTAGACTACTGTAACTCTCTTTTCACGTGTCTGAGCAGAGCCTCCCTGAACCGTCTACAGGTGGTTCAGAACGCCTGTGCTCGGCTTCTGACCAAGTCCTCCAAACACACCCACATCACCCCGCTTCTCCTCCAGCTTCACTGGCTGCCAGTCACCTTCAGGGTTCATTTCAAGATCCTGGTTCTGGTCTATAGGGCCTTACATGGACAAGCACCATCTTACATTGGTGATCTTCTTAGTCCCTACACCCCCAGCAGGTCCCTGAGGTCCAGTGACCAAAGCCTACTGGTTGTGCAGCACCAGGCTAAAGGTCAAAGGTGACAGATCATCTGCTGCTGTGGCCCCCAGACTCTGGACCTCTCTCCCCCTGAGCCTGAGACCAGTGGACTCAGTGGTCTCCTTTAAAAAGCAGCTGAAGACTCACTTGTTCAAGCTGGCTTTTGTATGACCTTCTTCACCTCTCTCTCTTTATTCTGCTCTCCCCACCTATTCCACCTTCCTCAGGATCCACTGGTTTCCCTCTTTCCTGTTCCCTCTCTCTCTCTCTTTACACTTTTTCTTTTAAATCGCAATTGCTTAATTTTGCTCATTTTAAATATATTTTTAAACATTTTCTATATGCTTTTTTATATTTTTACAATTTTTTGTATTTTTTGTTTTTGTTTTTGTGAAATGCCTCGTGATTTTTATCTTGAGAGGTGCTAAAGAAATGATATTTTCTTCTTCTTCATGACAAAAAACCAAACCTGGTTGTAAGAATAAAATAGTTCTTTGCATGAAGCTAAAACATGGAGAAGATATCCAACACGAGTCTTCCTGGGCCCTTTAACTCTTATCTTCTTTCTTAAGCAGAGTTGGGTGTACACTGACTTTAACATCATGTGAGAAGATTTATTAGAAGGACTGTTAATGTTCCAGTTGCAGTAAAACATGTTGGTGCTGTGTCTGAACCCCACATCTCATCCCAGAAAACCCCGTAACTCTGATGTTCAGCTGCTCAGTCCGACTCAGGAGGATGAAAACAGATTTCCTTATCCAGAGAGAAGCCTGACAGCAGCTCTGATCTGTTGTGTAAATTATTCCTGTAATCCTGTAAACTGCAGGTCTTTGGCGTATTATCCAGTTAAAATGATCTCATCTCTGTGTCCAGAGGCAGACAGAGGAATTATAACTACGGTGTTTAGTTTGGTTTCCTCTATCATCGAGTCTATTTTCTCTGCTTCTGAGGCCCCGTGGATCAGGGTCATGGGAAAACTAAGAAAACAAAGACATCTGAGTGATTTTATTTTTCTGAAAATCTGGAGTAACAATGGTCTTATTAGTGTTGACTCACAATCTGACAGCATTCCCCCCTTTGAGAGAATCACAGCTGTGGATCATTAAAATGGAGACCACCAAGCTCCTTGATGATCACCTCACCGTCCTCATCACAGGAGTGAGGGGTACTGACTAGAGCTGCGCTGTCATGCTGAGCTCCACACAAGCTAAAGGAAGCCATTGTTCAGTGAGGGCCCTAACCCCCCCCACCCCACACACACACACTCTTGGTAATTGTGTAGATTTGCTTGCAGGAATGTATTTTTTTCTTTTTTATTACTTTTCTCCCAAGATCCTTTTACGGTCACCTAGCAACCTTCTATAAAAAGGATGGTTTGAAGTGATATCGGCACAAGTCCAGCACCCTGAGGTTCTATCTCTGCTTCAGCACTGGCTGTTCCTGAGCTGGTCAATACCCCGTCGTCTGGCTGCATTAGTCCCTCTGCAGGGGCTCACGTACCATATTGACCACCAACATCATGATAACTTCTCGTTTGGCCTCGGTTGTTGACTAGCCGCTGTGCTACATTACGCAGAGCTCCATCACGATGCCAACTGTGTAGTCTGTGCTCTAAGCATGTGTGTTTTATCTTGTTCCTCCAGAACTCAAGCATGAGATCCTGGTTTGGAGGCAAGCAGCTCAGCGTATTAACCCCGCCAGTCGAGAGGAAACAGCAGTCAAATGCCTCCTGATGCAAAAAGTTCTCAACCTGGAAAATCTGCTCCGCAAGATGATGAAAACATTCCAAAGGTTCAAACAACAGCTCTGCAAACGGACACATCTATTACTCCAGGATTGCTTTTTCACCTCTGATAGAAACCTGTTCTAGTATTACTTGGTTATTTCACTTTTTTTGTCGTGCAACATGTGTTTAGAGAAAAAGAAAGAGCACAGTGGTAGTATTTGGCCCAAACACGCAAACTCAGAAGAAATGTGTTGTGTTGTTTCATTTGGCAGACAAATTTCTCAGGAGGATAAAAACTGGGAGCAAAACATTCAAGAACTTCAGAAGAAGGTAGGCTTTGATTCCTCACCTCAGACCTATTCCTCTCTCACTGTAAGCACGGCAGACCGATGCCATGCTGGTAATGAAGTTGGCCGTGTCTTTGAAAAGTCCCCCTGAGACTAACGCCAGTAGGCATGTGATAAGATCGCCCCTTGAGTAGTCAGAAAGAATAAATGTTTCTGCCCTCACAGCACAGGATAACTGACCGGGTCCTCCTGGTGAAGTGTGCCTCCGTCCTCTCTGTGGTGATCTTCATGTTTTTTCTCAACTCCTTTGTTCCCAGCATCCACCTTGATCTCGGTAAGTGCTGCACAATCCAGTCAAAGCTAATCTGTGTCATTCTGAACATTCTAGCATGAAATTTACATGATTTTAATTTTTAGGAATGATGAATTTCACAAAGTTCATCTAGAATCTAGTTAGGACAGAACAAATAAGCTACTTTTCATCAGATTCAAGGAAGCAAAGTGCCTGAAAATACACTTTCTAAAAGCAACAGTACCATCAAACCCAGTCTCCCAGTGGGCTTGGGCTACTCCTGGCTCGTGGGAAACACAATTTAATGAACAAATATGCTCATTTTCAGCTGGAATCTCACTGAGTAGATATGAGGAAATCAATGATGCAACTGAAACTGTAAAACGCTAAAGTCTAAAACATCTAAAACAAAAACTCCTCCTCCAGCAACAGGAGTACCAGGGTGCCTCTAATTGATCCGAGGGTTGTGTTTTTGTAATTAATACAGTTGCATCTCACAGAGACGCCTTTAGGGAGGAAGATATTAAACTTGGAATCGATCTTTTATCTAATTAGCTTGTGTTGCTCCGTTTTCACAGGGCGGTTTGGTCCATTAAACCCTCACGAAACACACTTTTCTTTCAGTGACACCAAATCTGTCCCCTTTGGACCAATCACACCTCTCCATTTAATTTAGAGCCTGTATTGATTGTGTCAGATTAATTACACGACTTGTAACGCTTTGCCCTTTAAAAACTTCTGTTTCATTTTTATGTGTATTTTATTTAACATTTGTGCAATAGTAGGCCCCTTGAGGAACATTAACCCTTTGATTCATGAATTATGAAATTTTCAACCATGATTTTTGTAACGTTTTTTTCCATTCATCTTTAGGTGTGAATGAAACAAATTTCAATGAATATTGTTTGTAAAATTTTATAAATTTACAAATAATTTATTACATGTCCACCTCAGTGGACAGCGTGCGTTCTGAACATGAAATATGTTTGCTTGACTTGCTGAAGTCCAAATGGAGGGGCTCAAATGCAATAAAGTCTTCAACAGCTGTGCTTAATAGCAAAAACAAATAAATAAACAACAATTTTGAGTACCTGTCCACTGTAGTGACCATTATGCACCAAAGGGTTAAGAAAAGGAACATTTAAGATAGTCTCTCATGTGCACAGAGCACATTTTAAGTCCTATCGGTTTCTGGTGACCTACTATTTGGTGACCCCCCCCTCCATCTTTAACCCCAAAGGGGACAAAAAAGAAAAAGAAAAAAAAAATCACCCAAAACCCAAACATCTTCAAAATTCATCTTATTGACGGAGAATAGCTGCATTAGAATGAATGTGCGACGTCTTGAAAACCCAAAATCTGTATCTGGTAGCAGCAGTTAGGCAGCACCCTCAGCGCTTATATGTTGGAAGATGACTTGCATGTCTAAGTTGTTGTTAAATTAAACATGCAGGTTTTCCTAAAGTATTTGAAAGCTCCAGAGTTTTAACCATTTTAAGTTTGTTTGAATGCTTCAGTCAGGTACTTCATCACCCTCTGTGGTCCTCCACAGATCTGCATCTTTGACAGTTCTCATCAGAGATGTTTCTGCCACATGAAGAGATTACAGCATCACAAGCTTAATGTCGATGAGAACACACACACACACACACACGCACACACGCACACGCACACACACGCACACGCACACACACACGCACACGCACACACACGCACGCATGCGCACACACGCACACACACACACAACCTGTTCCCGCCCCTCTCACCTTAGTGTTGTCCAAAACGATCTGCTGAGAGTTGGGATGGATCTCGGTAGCTCATTCAGACCAACACAAACTGCGTCAGGCTGATGATATGAAGGAAGAGTTTTCATCAGATCATCAGTGTCAGGTTAGAAAGTTCACTTTATTCATAAAGATGAAAGTGGCAGGCTGCTACTCGTCATCCATTGAAAACATGCCTTCTGTTCTCTGTGAAACCTTGTTGCCAGGTTGGTTACATTTCAGCATGTGCTGCAGGCGGAGCTCTATGTGATCTCTGTCCAACGCCTGTGGCTGTGTTGTGTCTGACAGCAGATGACCTAAACAGCACTTCATTCGTTCAGATGTCTGTCTGCATGCACCTCCTCCTGAGGTCACCCCGTCACTGGCCATGCACAGTTAATTGCAGACAGCGCTCAGGTTACCTCCCTGTGACATTTATTAAATGGGAACGACCCAAGATCAGCATGTTGCCTCTCCTGCTGGAGGGACTGGCGCCTGTTTAAACACAGCATTCACTAATGTATGCAGGTCAGAGTCAGGGTTGACTGCAGCTGTAAGCTCAGTCTGTTCATGCTCTTGTAGTTTCAAATTAAGCCTCATTAAATTCCATTAACTCCTCTTTTTCTTAGTTAATTGCTGGTTGATTATTGCCTGATCATTTGATTCCTCCTCTGTGATTACAAGCTGGGTTACAAGTATAGTCACAAGTAAACCTCTTTGGTTGCTTAATTTTGAAGAAATTATCAGAGACCGTTATTAGAAAAATGTAAAGAAGTAATGAACAAAAAATGGATTTAGAATGCAAAGTTTGGTCAAATATATCTCTCATCTGGGCAGCAGCAGCTCATCAGGTTGAGTGGGTTGTCCAGTAATTGGAAGGTTGCAAGTTCGATCCCGGCTCCGGACAGAGAATTCTGCTGTTGTGTCCTTGGGCAAGACACTTAACCCACCTTGCCTGCTGGTGGTGGTCAGAGGGGCCAGTGGCCGGTAGTCAGTTCAAAAATACTTTATTAATCCCAGAGGGAAACTGATTGCTGTAGTAGCTCAGAATAATAATAATAATCAAGTCATCAAAGAGGTGTTGTATATTACAATGGCTGTTGGCAGGAAGGATCTCCAGTAGCGGTCAGTGTTGCAGCCAAACTGAAGAAGCCTCTGACTGAAGACACTCTTCCGTTGTCGGACAGTCTTGTGAAGAGAACGCTCAGGATTGTCCTGCAGCCATGTTCCTGTTCAGTCTCTCCAGCTGCCTCTTCACCTGACTTACAGAGACAGATCAATCAATCAATCAATCAAAGCTTTATTTATAAAGCGCCTTCCGCAACCCTGTCAGGAAGCCCAAAGCGCTGAACATGGTACAGTTGTAAGTAATTATACTGAATAAATCAACAATAAAAGAGATTCAAATTACAAAATACAAATTACAAAATACAAAATGGAAATAACAAGACAGATGAAACATTCCGGTAAAATACAAATGTGTGAGTCACAGTTGGATTGAGTGGATGGATTGAGTGTACCATTGAAAACTGTGGAATGGATTCAACATAATAGAGGGCCATAATCAAACATGTTCTGGAAACGCCAAGTGGAGGAGGTGTGTTTTTAGGCGACTCTTGAAGACTGGCAGAGAAGGGGACAGCCTAACTGAGGGTGGCAACTGGTTCCAGAGTAACGGTGCTAGGACTGAGAAAGCCCGGTCCCCACGGGTACGACACCTAGACCGAGGGACAGCGAGCAGGCCTTGGTCAGAGGAGCGCAGAGCGCGTGATGGGGAGTGTCTGTTCAGGAGTGTGGCCAGATAGGGGGGAGCACCACCCTGGAAGAAATGATAAACAAAGACGAGTATTTTGAATTGTGAGCAATGGGAAATCGGAAGCCAGTGCAGGGAGGCCAGAACTGGACTGATGTGGTGCCGTTTCCTGGTCCCAGTCAGGAACCTGGCAGCGCTGTTCTGCACAACCTGTAGGCGATGCAGTGTTGACTGACACAACCCTGCATATAGAGAGTTGCAGTAGTCAAGCCGAGAAATTACAAAGGCATGCAGTACCCGATCCAGGTGGGCTCTCGACAGCATATGCTTGATTTTAGCAAGGCGTCTCAGGTGAAAGAAACTGGACCGGATCACAGAGTTGATGTGAGCATCAAATTTAAGTCCTACATCAAGTTTCACCCCCAAACTGGTAACAACTGGTTTTGAGTACGGAGAAAGAGGGCCAAGATCAGCATAACGATCCACATTCCTGCTGTTGGGGTGAAAAACAATGAGCTCTGTCTTTCCCTCATTCAGATGTAGATAGTTGGACATTAGCCAAGACTTCACCTCGTTAACACAGGAGACAAAGGACTGGATAGAGTGACCTTTCTCCTGACACAATGGAGAGTAAATCTGGCAATCGTCAGCATACAGATGGAATGATAGGCCATGTTTACGAAAGATTGACCCCAGAGGTAGCAGATAAATGGCAAACAAAAGTGGACCAAGGATCGACCCCTGCGGGACCCCCCACCGGAGCCCCTCCCAAGAAGAAAAAACATCACCCAGTTTAACACAGAATGTCCTGTTGTGGAGATACGATCTAAACCAGTCCAGAGCAGACCCTTTGATCCCAACCCATCGTTCCAAGCGATCGAGTAGAATCGCGTGGTCAACTGTGTCGAAGGCTGCTGTCAGATCTAATAACAGAAGCAGCACAGATGTTCCGTGATCTAGTGATAGATAGATGTCATTTAGGACCCTCAGTAGAGCTGACTCTGTGCTATGGCCAGACCTGAACCCTGATTGGAAAACCTCAAACAGATCAGAGTCAGCTAAATGTGAGACCAGCTGCTGATAAACGACTTTCTCAAGCAGTTTAGATGTAAAGGGCAGGGTAAAGATAGGCCTGTAATTTTCTATCACAGAGACATCAGCACCAGGTTTCTTCAGGGTCGGCCGAATAACTGCTGCTTTCAAAGCAGCTGGGACCACACCTGTGCTGAGGCTCCCATTGATAATCTGACCAAGTGATGGGCCAAGGAACGGAAAGGCAGCCTTCCAGAGACGAGGCGGCAGAACATCAAGTGGAGAGCCAGATGGCTTCTGCCTCGCAACTAGCTTACTCAGCTCAGAGTATGAAACTGTATTGAGGGAGCTCAGGGTGGGTGGTAATGGATGAACTGGAACAGGGTCAACAGAGTTACCAGAAATGACTGCTCTAATGCCCGACACTTTATCAACAAAGAATTTGTGAAAAGCTTCAGAGTTTCCAGCAGCTGTAGGAGACATGGTGCTAGGCTCCTGATACACCAGAACTGAGTTTAGCGTTTTGAAGAGAATCTTAGGATTATTGGAGTTTGTCTCAATGATGTCTGCAAAATAGGCCATTCTGGCGGCCCTCACTGCATCCTGATAAGCAACCAGAGATGCTCTGAACAACTCACGCGAGACCTGTAGGCCATCCTTTTTCCACTTTCTCTCAGAGGATCTACACGCCCGCCTACAAGCCCGTGTGACATCAGAGAGCCATGGCTCCCTCCTAGGCCGAGACTTGCAAAGCTTGAGAGGGGCAACCACGTCCAGGACCTGATTACAAAGTACATCAAAGTGTTGTGAATAGTGATCAATGTTAGATGGATCTGGGTTAAAGGTCTCTAACCTTACGGACATACAGTCCACAAACTTTGAAATAGTTTCTGCATCCAGGGCTCTGAACCTAGTAGCTGGAGCTTCACACACAGGGACAGGACATGGCAACGTAACATCACAGAGTATAGGAGAGTGGTCAGAGAACACAGGAGGCAAAGTCACAAGGTTCATGATGGGTAGACCATAAGAGATAACCAGGTCCAGGGTGTGACCCCTGGCATGAGTTGGGGATGATACCGATTGAGTTAGATTGAATGACTCTAGCAAATTAAAAAAACCTTTAGCAAGCACATTATCAGGACAGCAGATATGGATGTTAAAATCACCAAAAAATAGGACATAATCATATTTTAGGATGCAGTCTGCCACAAGATCACAGAAATCATTAATGAAGTTAGAGTCAGTCTTTGGAGGCCGATAAATCAGCACAACGAGCAGGCGGGGGGAGATGCACAGCTCAAATAAGCACAGTTCAAAGGAAGAAAATGACATGGTGGGTGTAAGCTGTTTACAAGGAAAGCTGGATTTAAAAACAACAACCAGCCCTCCACCTCTGCCCCGTGATCTGGGGATATTAAAACACGAGCAGCCAGGTGGTACCAGCTCGAGTAGGGAACTTGTGTCGCCAAACGGGATCCAGGACTCACAGATGCAGAGAAAACCCAGGTCATGCTGAATAAAAAAGTCACGAAGAATAAAAGTTTTGTTCAGCACAGACCTGGCATTGACCAAACCAAACCGGGTCTGCGGCGGGTCTGCAGCACAGAGATCGCGCATGGACCCAGTCCCCTCTAACTCTGTGCCCGTAACCGAGCGCAGATTCTCCCAGCAAACCCCAGTCTGGCGTGATCTTCGAGCCGATCGGCCGTGGCGCGGTGCCGATACACCATCAGAGCCGGCCGAGTTCCCTGGGCAGGGCGCCGAGTAATCCAGGAGACATCTCGGAACCATCGGGTCAGAAGCTGGGCCGGATCGGGCCAGCCGCTTGTTCAGGGATCCAGGCCGACATCTCACGTGCCGGCTACCTCTCTTTCCTCGTCTTCTCCGATGCTTCCTTCTCGAGCTGGGGCGGACAGAGGGCCGACACATCACGGCTTGGGTGGAGAGAGCATGCGGGCAGTTCAACCAGCAGCATCGTCCGTGAGGTTCATAGCTCGCACAGCCCGGTTCCCAGCGTGCGCTGCCGGCTACATCAACGGAAGGACGAAGCTGGTAGGTGGGAGGGGGAGGCAAATGGAGCAGCAGCAAATCCTGACTTGGTTGAAGACAAATTTATAGAACCAGAAGAGTCCATGACTGTGTTAGAGGACAAAAGAGCTGGTGTGTGACAGGAAAAATGTTGGATCAGAGGAGAATGGAATGTCTGATTGGCTTGGGACAGGCGAGGAGGATGCTGGGTTTGTTCCTGAACTGAACCTATTGAAGTACTTGTTCAGTTCATTGGCTGTGTCCAGGCTGCCATCTGTGCAATCCTTCCTCTGCTTGAAGCCTGTGATATTCTTCATCCCTGACCAGACATCTCTGATATTGTTCCTCTGTAGTTTGTTCCCCAGCTTCTACCTGTATGCCACCTTGCTGTCTCTGATCTTGATCTTCAGTTGCTTCTGTGTACTCCTCAATAATTCCCTGTCTCCCTCCTTGAAGGCTATTTTTTTCTCATTTAGCAGATTCTTCAGTTCACTGGTGATCCAGGGTTTGTTATTAGCGAAGCATCTCACTGTTCTGGTGGGTATGATGTTGTCCACACAGAAGTTTATATAGTCAGTCACACATCCAGTCATGGCATTGATGTCCTCTTCATATCCTTGGCAGAGAGTCATCCAATCTGTGGTCTCAAAACAACTCTGCAGGGCTTCTTTAGCGTCCTGTGACCATTTTCTCACAGTTCTTCTTGTCACAGGTTGCCTCTGAACAAGTGGTTTGTATTCTGAGCAGAGAAAAACAAGATTGTGATCTGATTGTCCCAGAGAAGGTCTTGTTTTGGACATGTATGCATTCTTTACATTTGCATAACACAAATCCAATGTCTTGCTTTCTCTGGTGGAGCAGCTGACAAACTGTTGAAATGTTGGAAGTGTAGCAGAGAGCGAGGCACGATTAAAATCACCAGATATAGCCACAAATGCATTGGGGTGCTGGGTTTGTAGCTTAGCGACTACGGAACTGATGGCATCACATGCATTTTCAGCAATGGCTGAAGGTGGAATATAAACAATTGCCAAGACAACACTGGTGAACTCTCTTGGCAAATAATATGGGCGACAACTTAAGGTTGGTTTATGCTTGACGTGTCCACGAGGTCTGCACGGCTCCGCGCGGAAAAGTTGCGTCATTTTGCATCATTTTAACAACCACGCCCCTCCACCGCGTCTCCCCACGGCCCCAGATTTCCGCAACGTGCACCTCGGAAAATTTCTAACCACGCGGACAGACGGATGCGGAAAAACATGGCAGACCGGCAAGAACTAGTATGGCAGAGGTTCGTAAATACAGACATTTGTATGATTCAGCTCTCAGAGATCACCGGGATCAACATGTAGTTAATAATTCTTGGAGAGAAATAGCTCGCACTGTCGGAAAAGACGAGGACGCTGTTAAAAATGCTGGAATGCCATGTTGTAAACAGTCATTTCTACTTCTACTATGGTGTAGTGTTGGGTGCATGCCATAGAGCTCCATGCTGCCCTGTTCAGTTTGGGAGAATATTGGCTCACCGCAGAGACGAGCCGCATGAACCATAAACGCTGCGAGTTGTGAAGCGTGTTCCATCCGCGAGCCGCGCCACCAAGCGGAAAGTGAATGCGTCAAGCATAAACCAAGCTTTACTGCCAGGAGTTCAACATCTGGGCTGCAGAGATGACATTTCACTGAAACATGACCTGGATGGCACCATCTGTTGTTGACAAGCACTGCCACTCCACCTCCTTTTCTTTTCCCGCTCCTCTTCAGATCTCTGTCTGCTCGTACAGTCAGGAATCCTGGCAGAGAGATGCTGGAATCGGGGATATGGTCCTGCAGCCACATCTCACTGAAACACATAACACTACACTGCCGAAACTCTGGCTGAGTCCTTGAAAGGGCTTGGAGTTCCTCCATCTTGTTGGCCAGTGATCTCACATTGCCCATTATGATCGATGGAAGAGATGGTTTGAATTTCCTCTTTCTCTGTCTCCGTTTTGCTCCTGCTCTGCGCCCACGCTTCTTGCGTTTTAGCTCATTTGGGATTTGTGGCTTCAGTTGAGATATTATTTCAGCCTTTCCAATGTTAATGAGCTACTCCCGATTGTAAACCAGCTTGTTGCCATGGTTACACATCATAACAAATGCTCAAAAAGTGAAAAAAGTGAAAAAATAGCAGTAAAAATCCTCCAAGCTTCACAGCACCAGAAACAGAAAAGTAAAAGAGCACTAACTAATTCACTGCCAGCCATTTCCTGATCACTAAAGGCCTTCGCTGCCAGTGTTTCTCGCCGTTTTTACTGTTTCTGTAAGAGTCACAGAACGTTGCGCGCTAGGATGATGTCGATGCCAAAACAACTAAAACAAAAAGGAGACTCACCTCTTACATCAGGAAGAATCCGCGCATTTCGAGCCTCATCAGCTCTTTCATAATCCGTTGTCGAATTGTGATCTGCAGACGCTTTTCCAGTTCGCGCCTCACTTTTGTTTACAGGAACGGCCCAAAACGATCTCCTAACATATGGATTTTCTGCTTCCTGATCATGTGACGTGTGACGTATGCGGATGAAGATCGGCTTCAGAGCTGAGATGTTTGTTCTCTCAGCGTGGGGTCTCGTTCCGATGCCCAAATAGTAAAAAAATGCAAATGACAACTTTAGTCGTCATTGGCAGTGAATGAGTTAACATTTCTATTCTCATAATGTAGTAAAAAAACATCTATAAATAGAAATCCTTAAAAATGACAGTAGAATAGGCTCAAATATGATCTAGGACTTAAATTTACTAACTTTTAACACCAGAGCAGGCGTGATATAGGGGGCGTTACCCACTTTGACCTTGGGGCTTCCAGTCCATGCTCTGCACAGATGTTTCTGTACACAATGCCAGCCGCTTGGTTGTGGCGTTCCATGTACGCTTTCCCTGCCAGCATCTTACACCATGCAGTTATATGGTGGATTGTCTCGGGGCCTCCTTGCATAGCCTACACCTTGGGTCTTGTCTGGTGTGGTAGATCTTGGCCTCTGTTGCTCTAGAGTTCAGGGCCTGTTCCTGTGCAGCCATGATGAGGGTCTCTGAGCTGTCCTTCAGACCAGCTCTTTCTAGCCATTGGTAGGATTTCTTGCTATCAGCCACTTTGGTTATCTGTCGGTGGCACATCATGTTAAAAGTTAGTAAATTATTTTTTCCTCTCTATTCTGGTGCAAAGTTTGAAGTTCACCGATTCATCTGCATCATAGCTAGAATCACTGCCATAACTATTAAAGTGACCAATGAGTTTATAATCATGTAATAAACCTGTGCTAACATGATCATTTTCCTGTCTCTTAGGCTGGATTGCCATCCTCGGTGCTCTTTGGCTTTTGGTTCTGGCCGATGTTCAGGACTTTGAGATCATCCTCCACCGGGTTGAATGGGCCACACTGTTGTTCTTTGCTGGGCTTTTTGTTTTGATGGAGGTATTTAGCATACATGTCCTGAAAATGTCTTTTTATTTGTTCTGTTTTTTATTCTAGAGAGTCTGGACTAGAAATCAGAAGATGAGAACAAAAACTGTCACTAATCAAAATTATTTTTTCCAGTATCTAAGTTCATGGTAATGAAGTTCTGGTGTTTGTAGCTCGACTTTGCTCTGACAGATATCTTCAAAAGATGCATAATAACAGTCAATAGCTGGATTACAACCATTGACAAAATGCTGTTTAGTTACAGAAATCTGGTTTGGCAGTAAGAAAAGAAATGACCAATTTCTTCACTTGGAAGCCACAGTTTGTCAGCACCGTGCGTGTTCTGTTTCTCACCTCAGAGTCTGGTATGGATGTGAGCAAAACTATTTGTTGGAGGCATTAAACTCAGTGTAATGTAGGACAAACATCCCCCATGAGGAAGGCCCAGCTGCATGTGAATATATATATCTTTTATTCTTAGTGTCGGGAACGATAACAAGAATAGATTTATCTCAGTCTACTTAATGGCCACTAAATAAAACCCAAATTACTTTTCCTCTCTTGGTTCCCACCTATGAGTTAATGCCTCCAGATTTTTTCTTCTTCAGCATCGATCTCCTCCTCTTCATTTTTCAGGCATTAGCCCAGCTGCAGCTCATCGACTACATTGGAGAGCAGACAGCGCTGCTTATAAAAGTAAGTCTTGCCTTTGCTTTTTCCAGCCTCAGCCTTCCTGGCTAAGGTACCTGTGCTGCTGACATAATTGATAATTGTGCACAGGTGATGTCATGCATGTTAATCCTTAAGCTCTGCACCGTTCTGAATTCAATTATTTTGTTTACGTTGGATTCCTGCCAGTGGTTGAAGGTAATTGTCACCCATATTCTTGCCCCTCTGAGAGGTGCAAGTGAGTCGCCTCTTGGCTGAGAATCACACTTGTAATGGGAACGTCAGCTTATGTTTAGACAGCAGACCTGAACGCGTCTAATGATCACACACGACAGGCGGTGTGCTGTTCTGGATACCTAACTCACTCTGTATCCCTGAACAATGAAAAAGGCAATAGAGTTGCTCCCAGCTGGAGGACAGGTGAAAGAGAGCGGCCTTGTGATGCTGATTATACATCGCGCTCTGTCACATGTGTGGAACTGACGGGTCTACAGATGAAACGCAGAGCCACCTCCTGTGGTCCTGTCATCAAACAGCTTCACTCTCTGAGCCCACACTGCCCGGCGAGAGGTTCAGTGTCAAAGATTGATCACAAATTGTGTTTCTGGTTTAGGATGGCGTCTGGCTGAGGAAGCAGCTGTTAGCATGTTGAGTGTTGATGAAAACACGGTTATGTGTTGTTCTGATGATCTCCCCTCTCAGGCGGTACCAGAAGACCAGCGCTTGGCTATAGCCATTATCCTGGTGATGTGGATCTCCGCTCTGGCCTCCTCCCTCATTGATAACATCCCCTTCACTGCCACCATGGTAAGACGCCTCAGTGTGACTCACTGACGCCAGTTCATCTGTTCATCTGTCACAGATTCACACAATCAAGTCACATGTAGGTTCTAAGATGTGGAAAAGTGGTAAAGTCAAACAAAAATTCACTTTAAATCCTAAACTGACATTACAATCTATGCAGTTGTTCATGAGATAAGTTGCAACAGGCCAATAGTTGAATCTGCACAGCCGGTTTATTTCATGGCAGACCTTTTCGTGTGAAAGAGAAGAAAAAGGTCTCTGTGTGAATGGCTGTTTAGAGAAGGTTCGGCTCCTGAGCTGTATGATTTGGAGCTAGGATTGGAACAATATTACATGTAACTTGTACCAAGTTTTAGAACTTGCAACATGTTTTGTAACTGTAAATTTAGTTTTGTGCATTTAATTCACGTTTTTTAACACGTAACCTTTATTTTGTAACATGAAACTTTCATTTTGTAAAACAATCTATTTACAAGTTTCAAATCACAACTCTTACACATCTCAGTGTACAGTTACAAAACTCAAATCTACGTATACAAATCAGTTTGTCCCAATTTACTTCTCGAAGAACCAATGACAGGTTTTGTCTTATCAGCCAATCACGTGTCTCAGATATAAAATCCTGCTCTAATTCAAGCTAATTTTATTTCTCTAAAATTACCACCACTTACTGGTAAAGAGTGAGAATGTAAGCAAGTTTTGTTGTGAGCAGTGCAACAGACCTCTGCCCTCTTGCCATGATTGGACAGGAATCCAAGACTCCTCATTGGCTGCTCAGACAAAGACTGTTATTGATTTTATTGGGAATGGAAGTTAGAATTGGGACAAAATGTTTTGTAACACATAGATCTAAGTTTTGTTATTGTAGACTGAGACGTGAGATTTGAAAATTGTGATTTGAAACTTGTACATAGATTGTCTTTCTGCAAGCTGTTACAAACCAAAAGTTAAATGTTACAAAATGAGAATTGTGTGTTAAAAACGAAAGTAACGTGCAACCAAACAAGAATTACATGCTACAAAACAAAAGTTCAATGTTACAAAATGAGAATTATGTGTTAAAAACAAAAGTAATGTGTTACAAAACGTATATTACATGCTACAAAACAAAAATTAAATGTTACAAAATGAGAATTATGTGTTAAAAACGAAAGTAACATGCAACAAAACAAGAATTACATTCTACAAACCGAAAGTTAAACGTTACAAAATGAGAATTGTGTGTTAAAAACAAAAGTAATGTGTTACAAAACGTATATTACATGCTACAAAACAAAAATTAAATGTTACAAAATGAGAATTGTGTGTTAAAAACGAAAGTAACATGCAACAAAACGAGAATTACATTCTACAAAACTAAAGTTACATGTTACAAAATGTAAATTACACGCTACAAAAGGAAGTTACATTTACAAAACATGTTACAAGTTACAAAACGAACAAGTTACATGTAATATTGTCCTAATCCTAGTTCCATATTTTGTAGTCAAATCAGTAAACAACTGTAGGGGTGGGAGGTAGTGCATGTTAACACACTCGTGCGTTCCCTGCCCTTCTCTGTCTCAAGCTATTAGTAGAGAACGACTCCTCACTAGTGCTACACAAAACGTTATAGCCATAATTCTGTTTGCAAACATTAACTAACTGTGTTGGTTATCTTGAATGTCGACTTCAAAAATCAATCAGTTGTAAAGTGACAACCAATTAAAATAATAAAGTCATTGCAGACTGAGTGAAACAAGAGGAGTATTTAACGATGGGTTCAATGGTTTGTAGACCTTGTTTTTTCCTTTATATACAATGTGTGTTCTTGTTATTGTTGGGTTTTTTCTTGTTAAAAAATAATAAGAATTTATATAAAAAACATAAAGACAAAGTAAATGAACAAGTTTTTACTCATTTTTCAACAACAATTCTCGTTGAACACAAACTCCGGAAGACATCTCCCCTTTTATCTCTCACTCTCATCACCCTGTTCTGTGTGCTAAGATGTTTTTTCAGTTAGAAACCCTAACCCTAAGTTTGCTTCAGTTCAAACTTGAATAAATAATTGGGATGGAGTCGAGTATCAGGGAACATTTTAGATATAATTCAATAAACCCCAGCAAGTTTTAGTTGTAGAGACCACCCCAGAAGATAAAAACAAAGCTTTACAAAAAAGTACACACAGATGAACCTCACCACCACCCATCTTTAATGTGTCACAAATAGTGATTTGCTGGTAAATCTATGATTTAGATCAGTAATTTCCTGCAATGAGGAAATTCTAGATGGAATGTGGCTTCAACATTAAAAGTAGATCCTTTCCCCTGCTAAACTGGCACATTTGTAACGTGTGTGTGTGTGTGTGTGTGTGTGTGTGTGTTTACAAGGTCTTTTTAATTTGTGCATAACTCATTTGATGCTTCCCGGTTAAATCAGCTGATTTTTACCTCCAGACATCAGATCTGCTGCCTCTAGACTGATGGGTGTCTCAGAGCGCGGTCAGTGGGCTCATTTAGGATGTTATCCCCTGACAGAATGAAGCATTGTTAGCTTAAATAAGCCATCAGAGTTTTGACTACACCCCCCTCCATGTTGTGTGTCAGCTGTTTTTGAAGATGCCCTTGTGTCTGATAGTTTCTCCATATTTTCATGCTCATGCAAGCGTTGCTCCACCTGACACAAAAAGAAAACTTTATAGTGCATCAACTCAGCAAAAGCTGATAAGAAAGCCTGCAGTTCGTTGCTGTCACAGTGGGGAGAAGGACCAGTGATTTTTCTTTCAGCTACAATTTCTGGTTAAAGAGTGATTGAACACTTATTTCAGGTGTGACATTCTGTCACTTTTAAAGAACGTGTCACCCCTCTGGGACCGAGTTAGAAAACATCGGTTCTACTCTAACAAATAATTAAAGTGTATCTTGTTCTTTCTGAAACCTTTCAGAAGCAAAAGTAGATTTGAGCTCTACACCAAGAAAACCTTTTCTGTAATTTAAATACTGACCTCCAAATATACATAAAAGGTTAGTTTATTTATATTTAGCATGTTAGCAACCATGTTTAGTAACAAAATCAATGTGAAGAGGTCCCGTATCTAAGATCTCAGTCTCTTTGTTGATATGATTGTGTGTCTGTTTATCTTCAGACCATCTACTAATCTGGATTCTTATTACTGGTGGGACTCTGAGACCTTAGCAAGTGGATTTCTTCAGCCAAATTTGATTTTTGTGAAAAAAAAAGGTCGAAAGAGGTGTTAAAAACAAACTTAGTATTTCTCTCAGAAAGATTAGCAAATGTCTGCAGAAAAAACAATGTTATACCTCTTTAAGACATTAAACTGTTATTTTTTGTCATTTTAATTGTGTTTCTGTTTTTAACAGATTCCAGTTCTCATCAACCTGAGTCAGGACTCGGATGTGAACCTGCCAGTAAAACCGCTCATATTTGCTTTGGCTATGGGAGCCTGTCTTGGAGGTAAGTTTCTAATCTCACATGTCTTTTATATGCTTTCATACACACACAGACTATAAGGTTTGGGTTACACAACCACCAGAGGCTCTACAGATCCTCGTCTGAAAGGTGTGGATCTTCTATCGACAGCCTCTGGCAAAGACACACACATGATGTGCTCCGTGTGACAGCCTGGATTTGAGCAGCCGTGCTGCTCCTCTGGGAACTGAGGCTTCTTCTTTAGAGGTTTTTTCTGTGAGAGAAGATTGAAGGACCTCAAAGCATTCAGCTTCCACTACACCCGTCTGCACAGGGTGGGTTTCTGGGGGTGAGGACACAAATATAGGAGCTGTCGGCGTGTTTCGGTTGAATTATCTGACGTCTGACAGAGTTTTATTGATCAGCAGTATGATGGTGCCATGGCTGCGTTCTGAACTGATGATTTTTAAAACACACTGAATACACAAGATGATCAAGCCTTTTATTTGATCTGTTTTACAGCAGAATTGTGTGATTATGGGATTATGGCATGAGCATTTCATATTTAATTTTTAAAATCTTAAATAACACTTAAAAATAATATTTCTGTGTTGTCAGGTAAATATTTGGTGGTTTGATCATATGTTATAATAATGTGAATGATCAGTGACATGGGGCTTAATTAGGGGGCTGAAATGTAAACATGCTGAGATTTCAGCTCAAAAGTTCATCGCTGTGATCCCTCCTAGCTCAGATGTGGGCGGACAAAGTGGAGAAGAGAGTTTCTTTAGCTTTATACATCACAGATTGTAGAAAGACTCCCATAGAAAAGGCTGCAAACACATTTACTCTCACTGGTTGCTCCAGGGACAACCTTACTCTCTCTTTACAAGAAGAAAAAGAAGAAATGAGAGAGCTGGAAGAAAAGCAGTTTTCTGTTATCTACAGTCTTGTTCCCTCCCACTCCTCATTGTCATGAAAGATGTCCATTCATTAGTTTCCTTTAGCTTATCCAGTCTGGAGGTTGCAGAACAGACATCTAGACATCCATCTGTGCAGCAACACCTGCTGGGAGAAACCCAAGGGATTTCCTGGCCAGAGAGGAAAGATTTGCATGTTCTAGATCCCAAGGCACAGGGGAGCATCAATGTGACACCTTGGTACCCCATATTCCCGCAACATCCATGCAAATAATGACTCAGGGGGCATGAGCCTTCTCCAAATCCACATAAGATCCAAATAGCAACTCTGTAAGTAGAAGACCGCTCCACTGTTCCGTGACTTGGATGAAAACCACAATGCACCTCCTGAATTTGAGGTTTGACAACTATACTGGCATCTCCTTTCCAACATTCTGGAACAAACTTTTGTGGAGGGTCTGAGATCCCCTGGTAATGTTGCATGTGGGCCCAGCTCCCGTGGAGCCTCCACCTGCTGATCCTTAGCCTCAATAATACATGAAAGATGTTTCATGCCTCAGGTGGCTTCTCAGTTGTTCCTTCTCAGACTAACAAAGAACAGCTGACAGGTAACACAGCTGTAAACATGTCAAATTAAACTCAACTAGTTCTCAAATAAACAGGAAGATTTATAATTTAGTAAAATGGCCATAACTTAAAATTTCTGTCCATGCAGGTTAAATAAGTTCAGAGAAGCTAAACATTCTTGCCTGTTTAAAAGGGTTTTCATACATTATCTTTGCAGTTTTCTCAAATTGTTACATCCAATACAAGAAAAACGACATTTGTTGTTTATCTGTTATCGGGTGTTGATTTTCATGAAAATCTAATGTATATCAGAATCAGAAAAACTTTATTTATCCCCGAGGGGCAACTAAAAGTTGGTCATTTGGATGAATTCATTGATCATTAGACAATAACTCCCTAATTGTTATATTTTTTTAGGAAACGGTACATTGATTGGAGCTTCAGCCAATGTTGTGTGTGCAGGGATTGCCGAACAACACGGATATGGCTTTTCCTTTGTGGAGTTTTTCAAGTAAGCCCTCTCTCCTCTCACAGCATGGCCTGCAGCATTTCTAACAGTCCAGCATGAATACGCACGACTTTCCTGTCTGAAATGGTAAATGGTCTGTATTTGATATAGTGCCTTCGAGAGTCATGGAACCTCCCACGGCGCTTTACAACACAATCAAACATTCACACACACATTCACACACTGGTGGGGATGAGCTACGATGTAGCCACAGCTGCTGTGGGGCGCACTGACAGAGGCGAAATGTAGCTTTACTAGTTTTTCTGCTCGGATGTTGGTTTGTGAGTCATGTACCATGAACTACTCTGCCTGGAGGAGTGCTTGAACATTAATGTCTCTCATGTTGGGACAGACAATGCCAAGGAAGCATAGGAGATGTATGACAGCAAAATAGTGGTGGTCGAAGGGGTTGGCGGCTCCTTGTATGGCAGCTTCATTTATATCTGTCTGTATTCTAACTGCCAGTATTTCATGATATTACGTGGTAAAAATGACCTGTATTTATCACACGCTGGTGAAGATGAGCTACAGCGTAGCCACAGCTGCCCGGGGACACACAGGCCGAGGCAAGACTGCTGTACACAGGCGCCACCGGTCTCTACGACCACCAGCAGGCAGGGTGGGTGAAGTGTCTGTGACAGACTGGACGTGAACCTGCAGCCCTCTGGTTACAGGGTGGACATGTAATTCCTCTATTCCCCAATGGTTGAGCACAAAAGTGCTGATCTTCAGGAATTACAACAGTAGCATTCATAATTATGTGCCTTTTCTCTTTAATACATGCATACAACCCAATCTAAATGTGGATAAACTGCAGCAAAGATGCCTGTTTGACTCTGTCTCCCTTTGCAAGGGTTTGATAAATTTAGTTTCTAAGGTACAACTGTTGTGCCATCATTTGGTGATGAGTTTTAGTTTGTCTTCAGAAGAAATGCCTTAATCATCAAGCTTTTTTTTTTGTCAAAATGAGTCGCAGATAAAATTCAAGCTTGATGTGAGATCTTGTGGAGGGCTGCTGTAAAAATGTAGAGAAATGTCCTTTTATCTATGGCTGGATGGAAAGCCGGCTGCCTCCCCAGTTTCTATCTGCTCACAAACAATTTCCACTGTGATGTAGCAGCTGGATGTCGATTCAGTTTGCCTGTTAGAGGAATAGAAGTGGTCAGAAAGGATGAAAGGGTGATGAATGTGGGTCTGATTAGGTCTTTAACACAATACTACTGAATGGTTCAGATAAAACATGAAACAGAAAGTGTGCCTGTATGACATGAGAGAAAACTCGACTCAAACGGCTTACATTAAACTACTGTTTTCATTCGGGGGACATAAAAATGAGAAGAAAAATCCCTGAATGAATTAATGCTACTCTAGTGTCATCAAACTGAGGAACACTTTGAGCAGTATCTGATTGAGCAACATTTTTAATTAACTACTGGAGTCGACCCTTTTGTGTCTCTTAGCTCAACTTCTCATGAACCACCAGATCGACACGTTCAGAAAAGCTTTCACTGAGACATCCAGCTACAACAATTTAACCGTCTTCAATCTTTTAAAACCTGATAAATGAAATGGTCAGTGCTTCTTCAGTTGGCTGATGTTAAGGTGACAATTTGAATTTTTCTCTAATATTTTATTATTTTTATTATGTAATGATTATATACCAGGTGTAGCGATGAATGAGGCTTCTGCATCCTCCTCTAAGATGCTTTATGGATGTTGAAACTGAAACAAACTTAAGGACAGACTCATTCTTTAAAGGGCTCAGTATATGTGGTCCCAAAATTGTATAATTCATTTAATGGAATAATTAAAAACGTTGTTAAAAATAACTCCCTATAAAACGCTAAAATACAGGTCCTTCTCAAACAATTAGCATACTGTGATAAAGTTGATTATTGTCTGTAATGTACTGATAAACATTAGACTTTCATATATATTAGATTCATTACACACAACTAAAGTAGTTCAAGCCTTTTATTGTTTCTAATATTGATGATGTTGGCATACAGCTCATGAAAACCCAAAATTCCTATCTAAAAAAATTAGCATATCATGAAAAGGTTCTCTAAACGAGCTATTAGCCTAATCATCTGAATCAACTAATTAACTCTAAACACCTGCAAAAGATTCCTGAGGCTGTTGGAAACTCCCATCCTGGTTCATTACTCAAAACCACAATCACGAGTAAGGCTGCCGACCTGACTGCTGTCCAGAAGGCCATCATTGACACCCTCAAGCAAGAGGGTAAGACGCAGAAAGAAATTTCTGAACGAACAGGCTGTTCCCAGAGTGCTGTATCAAGGCACCTCAGTGGGAAGTCTGTGGGAAGGAACAAGTGTGGTAGAAAACGCTGCACAACCAGAAGAGGTGACCGGACCCTGAGGAAGATTGTGGAGAAGGAATGATTCCAGACCTTGGGGGACCTGCGGAAGCAGTGGACTGAGTCTGGAGTAGAAACATCCAGAGCCAGTATAGAAATATTTTGTTAGATCATATTACACTTGATATAGCCTCTGCTTCCACTTCAAATCAATCTCTCTGGGCTCCTTTGATCGGTTCCATCACATAGCGATGACGGGGGACCATGGATATTGTCCTGCGGGATGATGTGGGTGAGGGGGTGGAGGGTCTGAGTTTGGAGTATCTTGACGGTCCTTGGAGGTGGGTTCTCTGGGGGTGTCTGGAGGGCCGTTGCCCCCCTCTGGAGGTGCTTGGGTTGCCTCGGGGAGTGGACTACTGGCGGTTGTGAGACGGGCCCCTTGGAGGTCTTGGCGGTGGCCATGGGTTACTGCCCGGCGGCTGCATTGCCCCTGGGCGGGTCTGGGTGGGGCCTGGGGGCTCGGAGTGTGGGGGTGGCCGGCCCCGTGGGGGGATCTGGGTGGGGCCTTGGGGGTCGGGTCCTGACATGTATGCTGCCGGGGAGAAGGCAGGAACATGCAGCAGTGCCTGACTTGGGTTCGGGGGCCTCGGGTAGACCTTGGCTCCTCTGCAGTCACATCACATGGGAGGGGGAAGTCCACGAGGGGGAGGACCCAACCTTACCTAGATGTCCTATGTCTTTTGTAGTCCGGAAGTTGTGCAAATGCAGGGATGGGCGTAGATATTCTGCTGGGGTGGGGCTGGATTGGTGCCCTCAGACTCCATGAGGCTCTGTGATGCTGCTGCTTTGGGCCCTGGCAGGATGGGCTGGGGTCTCCATGCTCTGGGTGGCATTTTGACAACAGAGGTGCCTATTGGGGCCAGTGGGGGAGCTGGCTCCCTGGAGGGCTAAGACCAACCAGCCATTCTGCTACATTCTGTGGCCATGCTGCTACAAGGAGCAGCAGTAGCTCAACAGGTTGAGCGGGTTGTCCAGTAATCGGAAGGTTACAGGTTCGATCACACACACGCACGCACACACGCACGCACACACACACACACACAAAGAAACATCCAGAGCCACCGTGTACAGGCGTGTGCAGGAAATGGGCTGCAGGTGCCGCATTCCCCAGGTCAAGCCACTTTTGAAACAGCGGGAGAAGCGCCTGACCTGGGCTACAGAGAAGCAGCACTGGACTGGTGCTCAGTGGTCCAAAGTACTTTTTTCAGATGAAAGCAAATTTTGCACGTCATTCAGAAATCAAGGTGCCAGAGTCTGGAGGAAGACTGGGCAGAGGGAAAGCCAACATGCCTGAAGTCCAGTGTCAAGTACCCACAGTCAGTGATGGTCTTGGGCGCCATGTCAGCTGCTGGTGTTGGTCCACTGTGTTTTATCAAGGGCAGGGTCAATGCAGCTAGCTATCAGGAGATGTTGGAGCACTTCATGCTTCCATCTGCTGAAAAGCTTCATGGAGATGAAGATTTCATTTTTCAGCACGACCTGGCACCTGCTCACAGTGCCAACACCACTGCTAAATGGTTTACTGACCATGGTACTACTGTGCTCAACTGGCCTGCCAACTCTCCTGACCTGAACCCCGTAGAGAACCTGTGGGATGTTGTGAAGAGAAAGTTGAGAGACGCCAGACCCAACACTCTGGATGAGCTTAAGGCCGCTATCGAAGCATCCTGGGCCTCCGTAACACCTCAGCAGTGCCACAGGCTGATCACCTCCATGCCACGCCGCACTGAAGCAGTCATTTCTGCTAAAGGACTCCCGACCAAGTACTGAGTGCATAACTGAACATAATTATTAGAAGGTTGACTTTTTTGTATTAAAAACACTTTTCTTTTATTGGTCGGATGAAATATGGTAATTTTTTGAGATAGGAATTTTGGGTTTTCATGAGCTGTACGCCACAATCATCAATATTAGAAACAATAAAAGGCTTGGACTACTTCAGTTGTGTGTAATGAATCTAATATATATGAAAGTCTAATGTTTACCAGTACATTACAGACAACAATGAACTTCATCACAATATGCTAATTTTTTTAGAAGGACCTGTACAATCAGGCTTACCAGTTGGGAACTGTCAATAACTGGTAGACGAAGCAAAAGTAAAATAAGCCAACAAAGTCACTCCAAGTTCAGGAGTTTAAGGAACTTTTGGTACTGTACACACAGAGCCAATGAAATGAAAACATGATATCTCTTTATCCACCTCCTCATGGTAAGGCACAAGTTAGAAGAACCTTGGCTCCATTCATGCAGCCTTGACAAGATGCTTCTTGCTGACTGGATGTAAACCAGTCCCCTGGTAGAGTCCCACTGAAATAGCAACCCCAAACAAGACAGTGTGTGCTGGAGTTTGAGTCGTCACACGCTAAACTGATCCGAAGTGAGCCCAGGGAGAACTGGGTTGCAGTAGACAGCCAGTAGAACCAACACACATCGAAAGAGAACCACAGGAGAAACAGATCAGACACAAGCAGAAGCACAACAGAAGCAGAAGCAGCAGTGATTTCCTCATGTCTTAGCCACGTGTGAAGAACTCCTGTTCTCTACCGACCAGGTGTGAGTGGAAGGCGACCTGGAAGCTGTGGTGTCATCGAGAAGGGAGAGACAGACTGATAGATTGGAT